TTGCCCCTGTCATAATACGGAGAGCATGGTTTTGGATCTTTGAGACTTTCTGAAAATTTGATTTAGCTGCTGTGCCCCAAGCAGCTATTCCATATTCTAGAGTTGGCCTCACATAGCCTGTATAGGTCCTCTTAAGGACATTGAGGTTTGCCCCCCAGTCTGTTCCAGCTAACTTCCTCATCAGTTGTGTTCTCCTGAGTCCCTTGCTCTGTGTCTTTTCTATCTGTTTTCTCCATGTGAGTCTTGGGTCAAAGGTTACTCCTAAATATGACAGTGAGTCATCATGTATCAGTGCCTGACTGCCATATCTAAGTGAAACTTTCTGGGGTTTGGTAGAGAGACTGAAAATGGTGTGTGTGGTTTTGGCCCCATTTACAGGCATGTACCAACTATTGGACCACCTCTCTAGAGTTCCGAGGGATTCTTGAAGCCTTGTCTGTGCTTTTTCAGTGTCCTTCTCTGAACTCAGTAGCGCCAGATCATCGGCATACATAACGGCTTGAACTCCATTACAGAGTATTGATTTTATGTCGTTAATGTAAACTAGGAAAAGAATTGGGGACAGAACTCCGCCTTGTGGAACTCCATGTGTCATTGAGACTGATCTGCTCCTTGAACCCTGTATCTTGACTCTTGCAGATCGATTTTCAAGATATTTTACGATCCACCCAAGCATGTGATGGGATATTCCACTTTCAAGTAGCTTTTGTTTCAGCCCATTTTTCCACACTTTGTCGAAGGCCTTTTCCATATCCACCCAGACTGCAATAGTGTGCTTTTTTTTCCTGGAATGCATCTTCAATGTGTTGAGCAATAAATGTAATTTGGTCTTCTGTTGATCTGCAACGTCTAAAACCTGCCTGTTCCTCCATTAGTTTGACGTTTTTCTCTAGGAACCAGGTCAGTCGGTTGTTCAATAATCTTTCAAATAGTTTGCACAGACAGCTAGTGAGGCTGATGGGTCTGTAGCTGTCTGCGTTGTTCTTCGGCTTTCCTTGTTTCAGGATTACGAAGATTTCAGACTTCCTCCAGGCTGGAGGAACTATACTAAAAATCCAGCTGGCATTAAAGATGTTTAATAATTTCTTTTTGGCACTTAGACCCATGTGTAGTAACATATCATTCGTGATTTTATCGGGGCCAGGGGCTTGGTTGGATTTCAGCTGGATGAGTCCTGTGTTAAGTTCACTCATTGAGAATTTATCTGTCATGATGCTCTCTGCTGGTTTACTCTTGCTGGCCTCCTCGAGTTCTTTTATTCTTTGTACTACCTCATCTTCTCTGGACTTTTCTATATTAATATCACTAACAGATTTAAACTGATTTAAAATGATATTTGCAGCATCGTTTCCAGATCTGATCTCATTGCCCTCATTCTAGACTGATACTAACACTAAAACAAATATGATTGCATGACCTGTGGGTGAAACATGCCCACTGTCTTCAAAGCAGAGATCAGCAGACAGTGACACACTGTAACCAACATCTCATCAGCAGGAACGCTTACTTATGGTATGGGAATACTTGGTTGAAAAGGTTCCTTAGGGTATGCCTTCTGCATCAGAGATCTGAGCATGCTTAGGAATTTCAGTATGCGATGATGTTGATTATGACATGGCCATTATATCATATTCATGGGGAGTGCTACAGAGCTCATCATCCTCTCTCCTGGGTCAAAGCTTATCCAGTGTGCAAGACTTCTTCTGTGTTTGGTAAAATGGGCAGATGGCATGTTGGCTTGCTGTTTACAGCTTGGTTGTGGTATTTGCATTTTTTGGCCCAGCACATCGTCAACAAACTCTTAATTAGGCGCCATATATGGTATGCTGTATGAACAATTTTAGAATGTTTAATCATATCATAAGAAATAAACTTCATAATTTAGTGACAACCAAGAAAATTGATTGGGAAAGAAACAGGTTGATATATAGCTGGATTGGTCTTATGGGTTAAACCGGACAAGATCCTAAACCTGATCTTCTCCATCTTTATTCCAGGGCCCCATTTTTCTTATTCGGGGGAGGAAGAATATGTTGACTTTCCATAAAAGCATGTTGTAAGAGGTGAATAATTATGGGTGCTTCCTTTAATGACATAGTGTCTCTCCCTGAAAGGTGAGGTCTGAGTTCATTGGACCTGCCATATCAAAACTCCAGGAAAGTGTGAATAGTGTCATAAACTGGGCTAACAAATGGGGCCTCGAAGTAAACAGGGACAAAACTGTAGCAACACTCTTCTCATTGTCTACAAAGGAGGAAAAGTTTACATTAAAATTCAACAATGATGCTGTTCCACGCTCCAATACTCCAACCTTCCTGGGAGTCAAGCTTGACAGTCGTCTGACATGGAAACATCACATACTAGAAACTAACAAAAAAGCTATGAGAAAACAAGGTGTGATGAAGAAATTGGCAGGCACCACTTGGGGAGCAGACAGTTGTATCTTGAAGCAGGTATACACCGGCACAGTCAGACCAACTCTCGAATACGCATCATAATCATGGATAACAGCAGCCCATTCCAATAAACAGATACTAGACAAAACGCAAAACAGAAGTCTGCAATTCTGGGAGCCATAAAATCTACACCTATTGTAGAAATGGAAAAGGCAGCCAACATCATCCCCTTAGAAGAAAGAAGAAGGACAAAAGCAATTCTACATGCTGAAAAAATGAAGAGAATGCTAAACCACCCATTACACGAAAAATTGGCAGCCAGGACAAAAAACCGAATAAAGCGCACAAGCCTAAACCATCTAACGAAGGAATTTAGAAAGTCATTCTCTTCACTACTTAACCAACAATGTACACCTGAAGAGCTATCTTTCGATCTTTGGAACTCCGAATTATTGACACTCAATGTGTCAACATCCATCCCGAACCTGGGAAACAAAGATGCTGAGCCCGCTTTAGTGAAGAAAGCACTCACAATGGAACATCTCAACATCATGTTCCCACAGGACAGCTGGACCAGAATCTACACGGATGGATCAGCAAAAGAGGCAACTACGAATGGTGGGGCAGGTGTTTACATAAAACACCCAGATGCCACTACTGTGTCCCTAGCAGCCCCCACCGGACGAACTTGCTCAAACTACAAGGCAGAACTCTCAGCCCTATTGATGGCAGCACAGTATATGAACAATCTGCAAATCACCGCAGGCAGGATAGTTTTTCTCACTGACTCACTGTCAGCTATACAAACCTACCGACAGCACACTACAAAGTCTAACACATGAACTTGCTATGTTGTCAAATAAGGCAGAAATTCACTTGCAGTGGATTCTGTCACACTGTGGCATCAAAGGCAATGAAAGTGCAGATGCTTTAGCCAAGGAAGGCAGTAACAAACCACAGACCTACCAGCCACTATCTTTTCCAGAAGTCAAAACTCTCATTAAGAGAAAATCAGAAACAGATTGGAAAACCAACACTGGTTATAACTACGAAAAAGATTTTCTGAAACATTTGAACAGAACAGACCAAGTCACAGTTTTTCGCTTACGCACTGGACACTGCAGACTCAATAAACACTTACATAAATTAGGTATGAGCCAAACAGCTCTCTGCCGGTGCCTTCGTGCTAAACAGACTCCAGAACATGTCCTGCAAGACTGTCCTCTCCTGGCGGACCTGCGGAGCAACATATGGCAACACCCAGTAGAACTGACAACTAAGCTTTGGGGAAACCTAAGAGACCTTGAAAAGACATCCCAGTTTATGACCCACAGTGGATTATGCGCATGACCAGAGATCGCTGAAGAAGAAGAAGAAGAAAGGTGAGGAACCAACAGTCTGCATACAAAAAAAGCCAGATCTATAAAACTAATGTGCGCAAGTTCTGGGACAAGATCAATGTCCAGAAGTGGGCAAACAGCCAGAGCCTTCCACAGGCATTTACAGCCAGAACCTTCCACAGGCATTTACAGCCAAAACCTTCCACAGGCATTTACAGCCAGAACCTTCCACAGGCATTTACAGCCAGAGCCTTCCACAGGCATTTACAGCCAGAACCTTCCACAGACATTTACAGCCAGAACCTTCCACAGACATTTACAGCCAGAACCTTCCACAGACATTTACAGCCAGAACCTTCCACAGACATTTACAGCCAGAACCTTCCACAGACATTTACAGCCAGAACCTTCCACAGACATTTACAGCCAGAACCTTCCACAGGCATTTACAGCCAGAGCCTTCCACAGGCATTTACAGCCAGAACCTTCCACAGGCATTTACAGCCAGAACCTTCCACAGGCATTTACAGCCAGAACCTTCCACAGGCATTTACAGCCAGAACCTTCCACAGGCATTTACAGCCTTTGAACACAAAGTGGTTTGGACACCTAGCAAGAATGCCCAGGTACTATCTGGGGAGTGAGTGGAAGACCTCTGTAAACATGGAGTGATGGCATTAAGTACAGAAATGAACATCAATCTTAATAGTGCTCTTGGCAGAGCTCATCAACAAATGTTACATCTCCCCCCAACACTTCGATGAGGTACAAGAAGAAGAACATAAAGAAGGAACGAGCGGCTGGCTGAGCCCTTAAGAACACTGGGCTCTCAAACAGGAGACCCGAGTTCAAACCCTCAGTAAGGTTGGGGCTTTTTTGCTGTGGGGGGTGAAAGTAGAATCCTAACCTGCACAGTCCATGGTGACAGCAACAGCCTAAATCCTCAGACTCAACCACTTATCTCCCCGCAAGACTGTAAAAGTTCTCAGGCTCAACCCCTCATCTCCCTGCAAGACTGCAAAAGTGGTAAATACAGACAGTAGTGGTAGTGGCAGAACACAAAGGAGAAGACTTGATCTGAAACTTTGATGATTATATAAGAGGGTGAACGATTGATTACCTGCCAGCTCACAAGATGATTTTAAAATATCTTTTAACTAGGTATGATTGCATGCAGAGGCACTATTTATATGGTTTAGATAAACCATAATTTCTTTTCTGCCTTATCAGTTTGACACTAGTGTAATTTTCCATGTAATAACAGATGGATGACCAAATCTGCAATGATGAAAATGCTAGTGGGGAACCCATCAAGAGCTTTAAGAAGATCATGCCTCGAAGTACACCTGGGAGTGCACCACTCAAGCCAGTCAATGATTCTAGACGACTGATGTCCTCTCCAATGGTAAACTGTCATTATAAAGAAATAAACTCATTCTGTAGTTAGTGTGGGGGCATGTATATATCAAGATAGACTGGGTTGTCAAATGGAGAAATAAATTGTGATTCTACAGTGGGAAGAAGGGAAAAAAGGAGGGGGGAGGGTGTAAATATATATATATATATATTAAGATAGACTGAGTTCTGAAATAAAGAAATCAATGGTGATTCTACACTTTGTCTGTTGAATAAAGTGCAGAACTTTCTCAATCCTACAAGGTTTGCCCCAGAAGTCAGGAATGACATTACTTTAAAACCATCAAATGGGTGTGGCCTTTAAAGAGACTACGTACTTTATTGTTCATCTATCACATGTGATAATGCCCAGTCGTTTTATATGTTGTTAGTAGTAGAGCGTGATCTATGAGTGTGGATGACTGATAGTACCAATCTTGGCATTATAGGTAGGGAGTTTGAGTTGTATCATGTGGGCCATACCGCTCACTCTTTTCTGATTTGTCTTTGTTGAACTGAATGTAAAAATTACAAATGTAATTCAGAGGAAGAACCAATCACACGCCACACTTTGCTTAAGGCTGAAAGAGTTAACAGCAATGGAAAACAGATAACAGGAAGCTCAAAATATGCTACCTGTCAGATGATTTTCACATAGAGTAGGAATGCCAAGCCAGAAACTGAAATGCTTTCAAGAGAGATACACACACACACACACACACACAGAGGAAACCAAATAGTACTGGATGTTATAGGATGTGATAATGCACAAACATGTTTCTACCGGAAGATGTGATATTTCCCATAAACGCCTGCATGCTTAAATTTGATGTTTGATACCATATCATAAAACATGTCCAGACTCTGGCATTGTATGATTATGAAACTGAGTTTGTGTTCTGCCTAAGAAGTATACTTGGCATTAAATGGCAAAACAAGATCCTGACATTCAGGTGTTGGAATAAGCAGGTTCACAAGTTTTCTCAGTGCTTAGTCTCTGTAAGCTCAGGTGACTGGGTCACACTTGGACAATGAAGAAGGGCAGAGTCGCCAGGTATATCCTGTATGGTGAATTAATGATGGGTAGAAGGCATCAAGGCCTGCCTATACTATAATATAAAGATGTGTGCAAGTGGGACATAAATAATACAGGTGCTGAGGTGGATTGCTGGGAACAGAAGCCATGGTTGTGTTGCTTGGAGATGGAAAATCAGGAAGGGAATAGGAATAAAAAAGAAACAAAATTGTGGAGAGGGTTGAGGTCTGAGAAGTCCACTGAGCACATGTGATGGCAACAGTGTCCTGAAATCTCATGCTCTCACTGGGGAAGACTTTTCTGAACACAACTGGGTCTTGCTGGTGACACTGGCCTTCACCATGGACTGTTAATTCCAGTGCCTGGCTCTAGCACTATAAAATATTTTTGTCATGAAAGAAAGAAAAGGATAAACACAATTTTTCTGCCACAGGTGTGCATATGTTTAGACTCTTATGTCTGTATGTGCTTGCAGTTATTTTTGTTCACAAGCATTAATAGCTATTCACAATGTCCTAGAGGTACTTTCAACAGACTGTTGTCTTGGTTTTCCCAGATGATTCCAGATATAGATGATACAAAGACCCCACGTACATCCCCGTATATGTACATCAGACAGCTGGACTCTGCAGAGAGATGGATCGAACGCACAAGTGTTGTTACCAAACAAGATCACCAGTTAAACTTAGAGAATGCTGGGAGCATTTTGATAGGTTTGATTGACTCTCTGCCTCTCTCTGGAAACAGTACATGGTAAGCTCGCACTCAATCTGTATACGTTTTCTGTGTGAATGAGAGAGACTGAGTGGCATGTGGGCAAGGCTAGGTGGGGTCGAAGTAACAGGACTTTGGGCACCTGTCTGTCAAGTCAGTTGTCTGGATATAATCTTCAGTTGTGGCAGGATTTTGCTTTTTAGCAAGTTGGCTTTGGAATTGACCCAGGTTCATGTAATTTATGTGGAATGATGCCTTTCCTTATGCCATGGCATAGACTATGGGAAGATTTGACACTTCACATGTCAGTGGTTATTTCCGCCATAAAACTGGACTGACTAACTGGCCAGTTATGTGATTGAGATGTTTGTCTCAGAGCACCTTTCATATGTCTATATGTTTATTTTCACGCACACATATGTACACATTTACACATGATAATGGTTCCACAGTAGCATGTTGACTAGACACCCACCTGCCAAACCAAAGGTCTAGGTTTCATATCTGCATAGAGTCATATTTTTAAAAATGAACAGTGGCTGCCATGTACGGCTAGCCTAAAATGTTAGCAGCCGATATCCTAGGAAGCCGATTGGTTGATACAAATGTAAGACTAGCATCATATTCCTGGTGCGCCACTGACATTTAAAAAAAAAAAAGGTTGTAAATTTTTTACATCATTGTCATTATCGTCCCTTAAAACTGCGTGCCACTGAGTCACCCGTTGCTGTTGGCTGTCTCTTCAGCGTCCTGCACCTTTGACATGCAGATGTTATGGACTTCATGCCCAAGCTCCTGTCACGATCAGTGTTTCTTGATCTGCCTCTTCTCTACTGAGCCCTGTAGTATTGTTTCTGAGAGGCTATATGTGATTACATGTCTGTACCATTGCATTTTCTGGTTTTTCACTGTAGTTAAAAGTGGTTCATAGTTGCCAGTGTGCTGGTTAATTATCTGGTGAACCTCGTTGTCATCTGGGCTTTGTATGATTTGCCATACATTTTTCTGAAAGATGTCGTTTCCAATACTTGCACTTATTTTTACTTACTTACTGTAGTAACGATGGACATTTCTATGGAATACAATAGTCCAAGTCTGTATCCACCAACTGAAACAGCATGTTTAATTGTTAACAAACTTCACATCGCAATTGATATGGCCTTGTCTCTTGTCAGGATAACCAAAGCTGTGGCAGATGGCTGCAGCTCTGAAGGGCGCAAGAAAGCTGCAACTGTTCCTGCTAGGAACCCTGACACTGATCTGGATGAACTAGCTGATCTCTTGTATGATTTAGATATTGGTCACAAACCAGCAGCTACTAGAGAGACTAAGACCTCCTGTTTAGAGCTTGAGGAACCACCCACCTGTACAGCAACCTGTGACATAAGCATGGCCCTGGAGAAACAAGTTGAGAGTAAATCTGTTGCGGACATGGATGATAATGAAACTGTCAGTAATGCTTCAGCAGAATCTAATTTGGTGCCAGATACCACAGCTACTCCTCAAGGTGTTCAGAGTTTGGAAAGGGGGAGCAGTCAGACAACGGAGGCTGTATTGATGGAAAAAACATTCAGTGAGGATGTTAACACATTATCAAATACAAATAGTAGTTCAGCTGCTTCATTGAAGGAACATTTGTTCATACAGCATGAAGATAAGAACAAACAGCTGGAAAATATGAACAATAATGCTGATGTTTCTAGGCTCAGCACTCACTTCGGGGATAACACTGACAGGGGCAGTTTGATTGTCTTGAGATGTGAAGACAACGATCACCATGAAGATACAGAAGCCAGGCTCCAGTTGATACAATCCTTCAGTTCTGAATCAGTGATTGTAAATTCTGTAGAACCAGAGCTCAATACAGACAAACTGCAAGCAGGAGATGGCAGTTTTGTAGTTGAGATGGCAAGAAAAGGAGCTGCTGAACCGGTTCAACCTATTCTTAATGTGACTTCGGTTATCAGTGACGAGTCTGATCCACAGAAAGAAGTTCACTGTGCTGTAGGTGATGCAGACCCATCTGAGACTAAACTTCAGGTGATTAATTTTCCGCTTAAGGAATTTGCCAGTAAAACATTGGAACCTGCATCAATTGCTGATCCTTTCAGGACTAAAGTGCAGCTGATGAATTCCCCAGTAAAGGATAGCAAGAGTGTGAATGAAGAGCTTGATGCTGCAGGAGGTGTAGATACTTTGATCCTTGAAGATCAGTTGATGAATTCCCCTGACAATAAAAACCTGAAGCCTGCTAGTGAAGAACTTTGTCTTCCCAAGAGTACAAATAATATCAAGACAAAAAATTATCTGGTTAGTTCTCCTGTGAAGATCCAGGGGGCTGTACATAAAGAACAGGTTTTGAAATCTCCTGTCACCAAAGAACAATGTGACCCTGTTGCCAATACAAATCCTTTCATTTCTAAAGTTCAACTGATGAATTCACCTGTAGTCAAACTGCAGGAAAATGTTACTGAAGTTGATCCTTCTGTAGACAAAGATCCTTTTATGTCTGAGATTCAGCTGATGAATTTACCTGTGAACAAGCAACAGGAATCTGCTACTGAAGTTGACCCCCATGTAGACAAAGACCCTTTAATGTCTAAAGTTCAGCTAATGAATTCACCTGAAGTCAACCAGCAGGAACCTGTTACTGAAGTTGACCCCACTGTAGACAAAGATCCTTTCATGTGTAAAGTTCAGCTGATGAATTCACCTGCTGTAGACAAAGATACTTTTGTGTCTAAAGTTCAGCTGACGAATTCACCTGTCAGCAAAGAACAGGAACCTGTAATTGAAGTTGACCCTGCTGCAGACAAAGATCCTTTCATGTCTAAAGTTCAGCTGATAAATTCACCTGTGAACAAGCAACAGGAGCCTGTTACTAAAGGTGACACCACTATAGACAAAGATCCTTTCATGTCTAAAGTTCAGCTGATGAATTCACCTGTGAACAAGCAACAGGAACTTGTTACTAAAGTTGACACCACTGTGGACAAAGATCCTTTTGTGTCTAAAGTTCAGCTGATGAATTCACCTGTCTACAAAGAACAGGAACCTGTAATTGAAGTTGACCCGGCTGCAGACAAAGATCCTTTTATGTCTAAAGTTCAGCTAATGAATTCACCTACTGTGGACATAGATCCTTTCATGTCTAAAGTTCAGCTGATAAATTCACCTGTGAACAAGCAACAGGAGCCTGTTACTAAAGGTGACACCACTATAGACAAAGATCCTTTCATGTCTAAAGTTCAGCTGATGAATTCACCTGTGAACAAGCAACAGGAACTTGTTACTAAAGTTGACACCACTGTAGACAAAGATCCTTTTGTGTCTAAAGTTCAGCTGACGAATTCACTTGTCAGCAAAGAACAGGAACCTGTAATTGAAGTTGACCCTGCTGCAGACAAAGATCCTTTCATGTCTAAAGTTCAGCTAATGAATTCACCTACTGTGGACAAAGATCCTTTCACGTCTAAAGTTCAGCTGATGAATTCACCTGTCAACAAAGAACAGGAACCTGTAATTGAAGTTGACCCTGCTGCAGACAAAGATCCTTTCATGTCTAAAGTTCAGCTGATAAATTCACCTGTGAACAAGCAACAGGAGCCTGTTACTAAAATTGACACCACTGTAGACAAAGATCCTTTCGTGTCTCAAGTTCAGCTGATGAATTCACCTGCTGTGGACAAAGATCCTTTTGTGTCTAAAGTTCAGCTGACGAATTCACATGTCAACAAAGAACAGGAACCTGTAATTGAAGTTGACCCGGCTGCAGACAAAGATCCTTTCATGTCTAAAGTTCAGCTGATGAATTCACCTGTCAACAAAGAACAGGAACCTGTAATTGAAGTTGACCCTGCTGCAGACAAAGATCCTTTCATGTCTAAAGTTCAGCTAATGAATTCACCTACTGTGGACAAAGATCCTTTCGTGTCTAAAGTTCAGCTGATGAATTCACCTGTGACAAGCCACTGTAGACCACTGTAGACAAAGATCCTTTTGTGTCTAAAGTTCAGCTGATGAATTCACCTGCTGTGGACAAAGATCCTTTTGTGTCTAAAGTTCAGCTGACGAATTCACCTGTCAACAAAGAACAGGAACCTGTAATTGAAGTTGACCCGGCTGCAGACAAAGATCCTTTCATGTCTAAAGTTCAGCTGATGAATTCACCTGTCAACAAAGAACAGGAACCTGTAATTGAAGTTGACCCTGCTGCAGACAAAGATCCTTTCATGTCTAAAGTTCAGCTAATGAATTCACCTACTGTGGACAAAGATCCTTTCACGTCTAAAGTTCAGCTGATGAATTCACCTGTCAACAAAGAACAGGAACCTGTAATTGAAGTTGACCCTGCTGCAGACAAAGATCCTTTCATGTCTAAAGTTCAGCTGATGAATTCACCTATGAACAAGCAGCAGGAACCTGTTACTAATGTTGACCCCACTGTAGACAAAGATCCTTTTGTGTCTAAAGTTCAGCTGATGAATTCACCTGCTGTGGACAAAGATCCTTTCGTGTCTAAAGTTCAGCTGATAAATTCACCTGTGAAAGAGCAACAGGAACCTGTTACTAAAGTTGACCCCACTGTAGACAAAGATCCTTTTGTGTCTAAAGTTCAGTTGATGAATTCACCTGTCAACAAAGAACAAGAACCTGTAATTGAAGTTGACCCTGCTGCAGACAAAGATCCTTTCACATCTAAAATTCAGCTGTTGAATTCACCTGCTACAGACAAAGATCCTTTTATGCCTAAAGTGAAACTGATGAATTCACCTGCTGTGGACAAAGATCCTCGAGATAAAGATCCTTTCATGTCCAAAGTCCAACTGATGAATTCACCTGTTAACAGCCAACAAAAACCTGATACCAAAGCTGAATCCACTACAACCAAAGATCCCTTCAAGTCTAAAGTTCAACTAATTAATTCACCTTTGAAGAAAGATGAGAAACCTGTTACTGCAGTTGACCCCGCTGCAGACAAAGATCCTTTCATGTCTCAAGTTCAACTGACAAATTCAGCTTCTACAGACAACAATGTTTTCGAATCTAACGTTCAGCTGTTAAACTCACCCCTTATTGAATCCCAGATATCTGCTAATAGTGAAGAAAAATATCATGATTTAAGTAAAAACAACATTCAGACAGACACTAATAAAGGACTTATGGATAATATCTTAGATGCAGATCCTTTCAAGTCTTCACGTCAAATGTTGAATTCTCCCATTCAGGAATCAAAAAAACCTAATCATGTGAGATCTCATCCAGTTCCAGAACATGGACAGGAAGTTTCCACAACATTGTCAAATAATCAGGATGAAGTTACAACCCATGATTCATCACAAACAGATGCCAGACTAAAGGAATCCCAAACACAGCCTGTTGACAAGTCTCCACAAGGAGACCCCCAGCCTGTAAATGATAGATCACATGTGCCTAATCAACAGCTATCGGATACTAAAACACACAACACGTTGAACCCAGTACATGGAAACCTGCCATTGAACAGCCTGGTCGAATGTCCTAGTGCAGAAGAAAACATGGACTTGGTGGACGAGGAGTTTATACCTGCTGCTCAAGGTAACTGACCGTCAAATCTGTTTAATACTCACATATCCTCACACATCAAATGTCCTGAACTTACCCCTCAAACGGACATATCCTCACACATTAAATGTCCTAAATTTATCCCTCAAACGGACATATCCTCACACATTAAATGTCCTAAATTTACCCCTCAAACGGACATATCCTCACACATTAAATGTCCTAAATTTACCCCTCAAACGGACATATCCTCACACATCCAATGTCCTGAACTTACCCCTCAAACTGACATATCCTCACACATCCAATGTCCTGAACTTACCCCTCAAACTGACATATCCTCACACATCAAATATCCTGAACTTACCCTCAAACGGACATATCCTCACACATCAAATGTCCTGAACTTACCCCTCAAACGGACATATCCTCACACATTAAATGTCCTAAACTTACCCCTCAAACTGACATATCCTCACACATCAAATGTCCTGAACTTACCCTCAAACTGACATATCCTCACACATTAAATGTCCTGAATTTACCCCTCAAACGAACATATCCTCACACATTAAATGTCCTAAATTTACCCCTCAAACGGACATATCCTCACACATTAAATGTCCTAAATTTACCCCTCAAACGGACATATCCTCACACATTAAATGTCCTAAACTTACCCCTCAAACGGACATATCCTCACACATCAAATGTCCTGAACTTACCCTCAAACTGACATATCCTCACACATCAAATATCCTGAACTTACCCTCAAACGGACATATCCTCACACATCAAATGTCCTGAACTTACCCCTCAAACGGACATATCCTCACACATCAAATATCCTGAACTTACCCCTCAAACGGACATATCCTCACACATCAAATGTCCTGAACTTACCCCTCAAACGGACATATCCTCACACATTAAATGTCCTAAACTTACCCCTCAAACTGACATATCCTCACACATCAAATATCCTGAACTTACCCCTCAAACTGACATATCCTCACACATTAAATGTCCTAAATTTACCCCTCAAACGGACATATCCTCACACATCAAATGTCCTGAACTTACCCTCAAACTGACATAACCTTACACGTCAAATGTCCTGAACTTACCTTCAAACTGACATATCCTCACACATCAAATATCCTGAACTTACCCTCAAACGGACATATCCTCACACATCAAATGTCCTCAAAACTTATCCTCACACAAATGTCGGAAATTTACCCCTCAAACGGACATATCCTCACACATCAAATATCCTGAACATACCCCTCAAACGGACATATCCTCACACATCAAATGTCCTGAACTTACCCCTCAAACGGACATATCCTCACACCTTAAATGTCCTAAAACTTACCCCTCAAACTGACATATCCTCACACATCAAATATAGAAACTTACCCTGTCAAACTGACATATCCTCACACATTAAATGTCCTAAATTTACCCCTCAAATGGACATATCCTCACACATCAAATGTCCTGAACTTACCCTCAAACTGACATAACCTTACACGTCAAATGTCCTGAACTTACCTTCAAACTGACATAACCTCATACACTAGGAGCTCCTGCAGTGGATCCCAAACTGACATAACCTCATCATCAGTGTGTCCCAACACTAGGAGCTCATACAGTGGATCCCAACACTAAGAGGGGGGGCAGTGGATCCCAACACTGAGGTTGAAATCATACAGTGGGAGAAAACACTCAGGAGCTCATACAGTGGATCCCAACACTAAGAGCTCATGCAGTGGATCCCAACACTAGGAGCTCATACTGGATGCCAACACTAGGAGCTCATACAGTGGATCAGCACAATGGAGCTCATACTTGGCAAGATAACTCAGATGATCATGACACTAGGAGCTCATACAGTGGATCCCAACACTAAGAGCTCATGCAGTGGATCCCAACACTAGGAGCTCATACAGTGGATCCCAACACTAGGAGCTCATACACTGGATCCCAACACTAGGAGCTCATACACTGGATCCCAACACTAGGAGCTCATACACTGGATCCCAACACTAGGAGCTCATACACTGGATCCCAACACTAGGAGCTCATACAGTGGATCCCAACACTAGGAGCTCATACAGTGGATCCCAACACTAGGAGCTCATACAGTGGATCCCAACACTAGGAGCTCATACAGTGGATCCCAACACTAGGAGCTCATACACTGGATCCCAACACTAGGAGCTCATACACTGGATCCCAACACTAGGAGCTCATACAATGGATCCCAACACTAGGAGCTCATACAGTGGATCCCAACACTATGAGCTCATACAGTGGATCCCAACACTAGGAGCTCATACACTGGATCCCAACACTAGGAGCTCATACACTGGATCCCAACACTAGGAGCTCATACACTGGATCCCAACACTAGGAGCTTGTACACTGAATCCCAACACTAGGAGGTCATACACTGGATCCCAACACTAGGAGCTCATACAGTGGATCCCAACACTAGGAGCTCATACAGTGGATCCCAACACTAGGAGCTCATACACTGGATCACAACACGAGGAGCTCATACAGCGGATCACAACACGAGGAGCTCATACAGCGGATCCCAACACTAGGAGCTCATACACTGGATCCCAACAATAGGAGCTCATACACTGGATCCCAACACTATGAGCTCATACACTGGATCCCATCAATAGGAGCTCATACACTGGATCCCAACAATAGGAGCTCATACACTGGATCCCAACAATAGGAGCTCATACAATGGATCCTTGGTCAGTCCAGCCTGCAAATTAACAGACTGACTCAGATGTGTGAACTGGGTATATTACTGATGACTTCTTTGATATGAGTGTGTGTATATATATAGGGTAACTGTGGAGATGAGTGTGTGTTTATATATATATATATATATAGATAGATAGATACTAGCTGTACCCTGCCACGCGTTGCTGTGGCATAGTTTGGCTAAATGGAAATGAAAGAAAATAGAAATTGCACGTGTCTAATACAATAATTGTCTGCTCAGATATAGAGATAGTCTTTGATCCCCACCCCCACAACTAAATCCACCTACTACCCTCTCACTCATCAAAGGTTTTTGGAAAAGAAAGACAATGGAAATCGCACCTGTCTTAGTTAATGTCGCAATCATTCTCTGCACATTTATATAAGTGGTTATTTGGTTATCACATGCTAAAGCTGATTGTATTTTTATAGGAGACGGAAGTAAAGCTACAACTGTACTTGTAAATAACAAAGTAAGTCGTAAAAAGTAGAAAAGCGGAGGTAGCGTTAGTAAAATATAAACAAATCAGGTAATGAGAACTTGAAAATCACGTGTAAAGCTCTTTAAGTTCTCTTAAATTTAATTTAAGTCCCCCCCCCCCCCCCCCCCCCCCCCCTCCCCTCCCCTCTTCCACCGACTACTGCTCTCTCCCTCTTCGAAATATTTGAAAATCATTACCTGGCGATTTTTTGTTGTTGCTGTAACTGACATTGACATCCCTGTCCATCTGGACTAAAATGGGGAGCAGGAATTGTAATAGGTAGTGAATATTTACCACATCATCCTTCAAGTACCAATACAACTACTAAAATAATTAGCTATCTGTGTTACCATCGGAGTAGACAGAGTCGTGAGCCAGAAGATTTGGTTCCGCATGGCTAGTGCTGTCGCCACAGACTGGTCAGGTTAGGATGTATAATTTCACTTGCCGTCTTCACATGAGAGCACTATGGTGTAACAGCCTAACCACAACTATTACTGCTGCAGCTACTTTAAGTGGGTAAAGCAGTTACTGTGACTCAAAGCTCTCTCAGTAAATAGTTTGCCCCCCCCCCCCCCCCCTTCAAATTCACCGACATAAGTATGCGAAATGGTCAAATTTAATTATCAAATGGTTTACCCATTTACTTGTCTTTTTTATTTTTTAAATATTAAGGCAACATGGCTAGTGCTGTCACCACGACAGAGCAGATGAGGATATTATTTTAGTCCGGGGTAAAAAAAAATTTAACTACTGCGCATTCGAACCCAGGTCTCCCGCACAGGAACCCAGTGTTCTAACCATTCGACCAAGCAGCCACTTAATCGGATAAACGAAAAGAGAACTTAACTATTAGAGATGTGTGTCCCTACTACTGTGTCCTCATTAAAACACAATTCAAAACCGCAGGCAATTGTTTTCTCGTAGACAGATACTCCAGATATATTAATGAAACGGCACAACAATAGAAATCGCACGTGTCTAATACGGTTAATGAAGTTAATGTCGCAGTCAATGTCTGCGCCGACGTCAAGATGGTCCTTGATTGCGCCCCCATCGAAGGTTGTTTGGAGAAAAAAAAAGAAAATAGAAATCGTGTTTAATATGGTTATTGTGGCAAATATAGAGATAGTCTTGTTTGCTGTACCTCGACCTACTCTATGTATTAGAGAAGGCGTTGGCTGCACCTAACTCACCGGCAAATGGCGGAAGCCTTGCGTTCTGACTACGGCGGCGCATGCGCAATTACTAACGTGGCTATAATTAGAAATCACTAAAATATAAATATTAGTTTCGAATATTATGGCTTAAATTGTGGTCACCTATCTCTAACAGTGACAGGTTGAATTTCAAACCATGGTGGTTCAACATCCGGTATCAAAACAAACATATCCTGAAAATTTCAGCTAAATCGGTTCAGTAGTTTCCGAGTCTATAGGGGGCAAACAAACACACAAACATTGATATATATATATATATATTTGTATAGTTTTTCAGGTAGCCTGAATTGTCTGCTTCCCATTCTCTAACCATATTGAATGATAAAACCTTGTTTTCACATCTATAGTTGTTACCTTTTTAAAAGTTCTCCACATGCCAGGTATAAGCAGTTACACCTGTCTCCACACTTACTGTCTCTGTATGATCCCTTGAACAACTGAGAAGGGCCTGTACCTCCATTAGAATGGCATCCAACTAAACAGCACTTTCACAAGCTACACTTGTCTGCGGCTGAGGCAGGTTCTTTGCCTTCTAGAAGTTTGAAATGATCATTGTAGTACAGATCATGTGTCAGAAACTCTTTGTGTGGGTTCCAGGACTCCATTTTGGAGAATAAAGAATAGATCCACTGCCTTCCTAACACGCATGTGTGTCTAAAGTGACTAATTAGGGGTGTTTCCTTCATAGGAGTGCATCTGCATAAGAGGTATGAAACCAACAGTCTGTCAGAGCTGTGAAACAGAAGTACACACAAATCTCACATTTTGGAACAAACCCAAAATCCAGGTGAACAACCAGAATTTTCCGCCAGACTTCACAGCTGGTTAACACTAAGAAGAAGCAGATGCAGTGTGTGTGCTGATGTCTTGTTGCTTGCCAGTTCATTGATTGCTTGAGGTTTCATTCTGGCAAATTACACACAGAAAAATTTACCTTTATCATTTTCATTTCAGCTTTCAATGACCCCTCGTTTCTGGATATGTTGGAGAAGTGTGGTAACACATGTGTGAGTAACAGTGTTTGTATAATGCTGTGTCATTTACTGGCACATTTGGTATGTTTCAAGCTGTAAATGATAGCTGCCATGCTGGGCATAACATCTGCTGGAAGAATGACAGCTAAACAAACAAACAGATGCAAGAGCAAACCAAATTAATTATTAGAAAGGCATCACCAATATTACAGGAATAAATATGTAAAAATTGATACACATAATAATACTAGGCTCAGATACTAACAATGTAGAAGAATGTTCAATGAGATGAACAAAAAGACAAGATCAGGAATGCTGCTTGGAGACAGGTGGGAAAGCAGTGCCAGTGTTAGACTATATGTAAACTAAGTGGTTGAGTCTCACAAGATTAGTCCACATATAACTCTGATGATCAAGCATTAAAAGGCAATACAATGTCTCGGATCTTTTTGCTAAAATCTGCCTCAGCTTCATGTGGTGGACCTTTCTTCCTAGTCGACCATTACAAGCTTGGGTTCCATCTCCCAGTGGGAATATGGATGGGACAACAGATAAGGAAAAGGCGAGCTACTAAGTTGAGTGCATGGTGGGACACTGTGAGTTGTGAATTTCATGGTAATTTCTCCTTGTCTCCACCTGATTAAAGGTGTTGTAAACTGCATTCAAAAAAGGGGATAAGTGCCCGTGTACGTATGTACCTGATGATTTGTCATGACTGCAGTTTTGTAAACTATGAATAGCAATTCTAGTGACAGGCTGTACGTGTTGGTGCAAAGCTGTTGGATTTTGCTGGGAACGGCTGCCTGTTTGTCTTTTACCATGGGACAGCGCTGGACATTTTATGGTGTGCATTTCATTGAAACAAGAATGGAGCAACTCTGGGGTGACCTGTTTGCCATGAAGTTGGAAGCCAACTGATAGCCTGACACAAACCTGACACAGAAGAGATCACAATCCAACAGTTGATGGAATATTTGAGAATAAATACCACTGTGTAAGTACACACTGTTGAGGATGGATGAATATTGACTTTTTGGGCAAATATCAAGCAAAAATTTCAACAACAAAAAAGGGAAGAATAAAAAAAAAGGCTGAATATTGGTGTGTGCGGGTCTTGAAGTTCCACTCTATAAATATTTATGGGATGTGACATACAAATTTTCTGGGATTTATCATTTCTAGGATTAGTCGTATTCATTTCTTTGGTTTGACATAATTATTTCTGGCAACTTTAGCTTTCTTATTTGGCCTTCATGACTTGAGAAAACTAGGCTGGAGTTCATACTGCGGAGTTTTATAAGCTTGACAACCTGAGGACTTCAACCTCCCCTGATTCAGCCACTATGGAGACAAAATCTCGGAGACATCTAGTACAAGTTGCTTTTTTTTTTCTTTTTAAATTCACTTGGAGGTTTGAAAATGAGAGTAGGCTGCTGCCAGAAAGTTGGTAAAAGATGTAACCAAAAAAATAGTAAAGGGCCCTCTTTTACGCGGTGTTTTAGGAATATGATTTTAGACCTGTATTTTTAACCAATCAGCACTCAGCCAACACATCGGTGGAAAGGTTGGTGCTCAAGCTTTAATTGCTGTTTGTAGCATCTGGTAGTTTTGAAAGAATTTATTCAAGTATCTCTTTGCCATGAAAGTTGTCCTTTAAAAACCAGGTGGGACCAGCTCTTTGTGACATCTGGTAGTTTTGGAAGAACTTATTGAAGGATCTCTTTACCATGAAAGTTGTCCTTTAGAAACCAGGTGGGACCAGCTCTTTGTGGCATCTGGTAGTTTTGGAAGAACTTATTCAAGTATCTCTTTGCCATGAAAGTTGTCCTTTAGAAACCAGGTGGGACCAGCTCTTTGTGACATCTGGTAGTTTTGGAAGAATTTATTGAAGGATCTCTTTACCATGAAAGTTGTCCTTTAGAAACCAGGTGGGACCAGCTCTTTGTGACATCTGGTAGTTTTGGAAGAATTTATTCAAGTATCTCTTTGCCATGAAAGTTGTCCTTTAGAAACCAGGTGGGACCAGCTCTTTGTGACATCTGGTAGTTTTGGAAGAACTTATTCAAGTATCTCTTTGCCATGAAAGTTGTCCTTTAGAAACCAGGTGGGACCAGCTCTTTGTGACATCTGGTAGTTTTGGAAGAACTTATTCAAGTATCTCTTTGCCATGAAAGTTGTCCTTTAGAAACCAGGTGGGACCAGCTCTTTGTGACATCTGGTAGTTTTGGAAGAATTTATTGAAGGATCTCTTTACCATGAAAGTTGTCCTTTAGAAACCAGGTGGGACCAGCTCTTTGTGACATCTGGTAGTTTTGGAAGAATTTATTCAAGTATCTCTTTGCCATGAAAGTTGTCCTTTGGAAACCAGGTGGGACCAGCTCTTTGTGGCACCTTGTAGATTTGGAAGAATTAGAAACCAGGTGGGACCAGCTCTTTGTAGCATCTGGTAGTTTTGGAAGAACTTATTCAAGTATCTCTTTGCCATGAAAGATGTCCATTAGAAACCAGGTGGGACCAGCTCTTTGTGGCACCTTGTAGATTTGGAAGAATTAGAAACCAGGTGGGACCAGCTCTTTGTGAGGACTCATTACTGTTTATTACCAAGTGATTGACCTGCTCCAAAAGCTTAATTATGATAATTTAACATTTTGCCTGTGTTGTTTCTGTTTCGCGCTGGTGTTCTCATCTCTGTTATTCTCTGCAGACAATTAATCCCAAACGAGGCTCTGTTCTAATGCGGTTTGATCCTCTGCAAGAGGTCCGGGATCAAAACTTTGCCAAACCTGGAAGTCCTGGTAAGTGCTGCTTTCTTCATGTTTCTGTCTCTTCCACTTCCTGTTTACACTCATTCATTATAACGCTTTCAGTCTGGAATACAGAGACTGTTTGGAATACAGAGACTGTTTGTCTGGAATACAGACTGTTTGTCTGGAATACAGACTGTTTGTCTGGAATACAGACTGTTTGTCTGGAATACAGAGACTGTTTGTCTGGAATACAGACTGTTTGTCTGGAATACAGACTGTTTGTCTGGAATACAGACTGTTTGTCTGGAATACAGAGACTGTTTGTCTGGAATACAGACTATTTGGAATACAGAGACTGTCAGTTAGATGTGTCAGTGACTGTTTTCTAGCTGCAGTTGTTGGAGTCACACCATGTGTGTATAGACTAATAAACATCCTAGTCACATTGTCAAGAGTATCTGGGATCTAATGTTCTTTGTGATTTGTTTTTCCACCAGCTCCTGCCAAAAGGCCACCTCGAGTATCTGATGCATTTAACCTGTCCAAAAATGCTGGGTATGTATTTGATCTGACAGTGTTTGATATGCCTAGTTGTACACCATGCTGCTTGCAAGTTTGTGTTGTGTGGTCTGTTTGTGGAGTCAGTTCTCTGGGATGTAAATGCTAATGGTCCATGCCAAAAGTGTAAAAAGTGTTAACGGAACAAGTGATTTCTGCGATAGTGTGTGTAAATTCAAGATTCACAATTTTGAATACACCTTCTGGGGTTTGTTACAGATGTGGATGTCCAGTAAGACAGGGATATTTTTTAAATTCATTTTTATGAACATCTGAGGGATATCTCATAATTCTATGACAAATCTATTTCCAATTATTTGAATTTGTCTTAAAACAGACTATTATCACAGATGCAGACAGTGGGGTCTAGAGCGTGAGAAGCAACAACAGTTCCTAATCTGTTTAAATCACCATTGAACACTGGCATCATGAAAGTTAGTAAACTTAAATGGCTGGTACAGTTTGAGAGAATGTCAGATGATAGAGAGGTAAAGACTATACACAAGGGAGTTGAATGGTTGTAGACCACGAGGCATACCAAGAAGACGATGGAGTGATAATATCCAAATAGACCTAAACATATTCAGTGTCAAAATTTGAAAAAAAGGTCAACCAGATACATGAATGGAGGCGGGTGATATTTGCAGCAGTGAATCTAAAGGGTTCGGAATGCTGAAGAAGAGAAGAGGGTTGATGATGATGTGTATGTCACATAATGATTGTCTAACTATTAAACTGAAAGTAGTTTTTCGATTATTTCTGTAAGATGTGTCCATCTGGCTGGAGCCATTATTGCTGTCAGTGGTACCATTTAACTGTTAACCTTGTTTGTTTTTACTTGTGGCCACCCTTTCTTCTCTTGTTGTGTACATATAATCAGTTGTTCATGATCTGAGAGTTTTGCCTTTAGTTTCTGATTATGTGTAATTACATGTTGTGTACATATAATTAGTTCTGATTATGTGTAATTACATGTTGTTTACATATAATTAGTTGTTCATGTTCTGACAGTGTTGCGTTTAGTTCTGATTGTGTGTAATTACATTGTGTGTACATATAATAAGTTCTGTTTTTCATGATCTGACAGTGTTGCCTTTAGTTCTGATTATGTGTAACTACATGTTGTGTACATATAATTAGTTCTGATTATGTGTAATTACATTGTGTGTACATAAAATAAGTTCTGTTTTTCATGATCTGACAGTGTTGCCTTTAGTTCTGATTGTGTGTAACTACATGTTGTGTACATATTAGTTCTGATTATGTGTAATTACATGTTGTGTACATATAATAAGTTCTGTTTTTCATGATCTGACAGTGTTGCCTTTAGTTCTGATTATGTGTAATTACATTAGTAGGCCAAAGTTTTGAACCCATTTGTCACCATATTTGTGTTTTTAGGTTATATTGAGTGCTCATATATTGTGTGTTACCTTATAATGTAATAATTTTCTTATTAGTTTTGTTTGCTTTTTTCCTATGAAAGGAGTTAAAACAAAAATTCTTTACTTTTGCATTCTTACATTATAAGTAGTTATAATCAAACATTCTTTACTTTTACATTCTTACATTAATTTATAATAAATGACTGTTTGATCAACATAACCAGTCTTTGGCATTATAACATTCATATTTCTCAGTGTACGCTTTATATATCCTTCTCTGTCAGTGGGGATGATAGTGTCTGCCTGTTTGGGACTCCTCCGCGTGTGGCCAGGCGCCGTACTTTGACCCGCCGCCTCCACAACACCAGAGTGCAGAGCATAGAGGAGGAGACAGGAGCTAGTGAGGTGGATGTGATCTTTGGTCTGGATGATGGGGAGGGCATGGATACTGTAAGTGGGACATGTTTCCGATTGATACTGTTGTAACGTATGACAGGTAAATAAAGCATCCCAGCATACACGCCATGGGAGTGGAGTGTCAAGCAAATACCTGTACTCGCTTCTCTTTTCTCTACTGGAATGCCTCGCAGCGTCAAGGCGGGAAGAGTTCTCTAGAACAGGCCCTTCTGTTTCTTCGTATATGGTAATTTTCAATGTCTCTGATATTTATGTGGTCTGATTTCTGCAGGGTGGCCTTCTGGCTCTGTTATCATTTTATCTGTACAAGATTGCTTTCTGTGGTGCCCTGTGTCGCCAATCTTGTTACGTAATCAAACTATTTAATATGTTGTCTACCGATGAACTTCAGTATTGGTTTTGAACCAATTCTCCCCCGATATCATTTCTATGTCAGGAGCCGCGTCAGCGAAGTTGACAGAAGGCTCGTTTTCAAATCCAGCTGTGACTTGCTGCAGCCACGGTCGGTGTTGAAAACCAAGCGGTTCCCGGGGTTCACCTAGCCTCTAGGAAATGGGTACCAGAGTTGCTCTCTGGGGTTAATGAAGGAACGTCACTGTAGCTACAGCGCTACGTGCGAGCGGCGACACAGGCGAACAGTTTCTTATCAGCTGTCCGTACTGGTGGCAGAGCACTTATGGTTTATAACCGTGTGCAATGACGCTGGTTTACATCTCCTGATGTTACCTTTTACCTTTATTCCTATGTCAGTCTTTCTTTGTTACACCTAGTATGATTCGTAAACAGGCACATGCACTTTAAGAACATAATTGTACTGTAATTGGTCAGTCACCTTTATGGCAGTCAGTCCATCGTGGAATGTTTTGAAAGTTCTCTCATGACTGTTACGAATAAGTTGTTTTTTAAGTGTCACAAATTGCTCTTGCAGGGCCATCTTACATTCCACCCTTACAAACACTCATCTTTCCTAGTGCAGTTGTATTCTATCAGTAAAGTTCATGCACATTCATGCACTTATCTTACACTCATATACACACATACACTTAGTATATATATTACACAAAGTGAACACACATGTACATGCACTGCCATTCACACACACACACACACACACACACAAATATACCTACCAGACACACATGCATACATAACCCACACACATGAGGTTTCAAGAGGCCCAGACCTGGCACACAGTGACACTGCCTAGGACAGATCCAACCTTTTACCAGCTAGCATTGAATCCTGATATTCTGTTTCTAAAGGAAGTGCTATGGCACCACAGTTACTGTGCCCTGATAGCATAATCTAAAGGAAGTGCTATGGCACCACAGTTACTGTGCCCTGATAGCAAAATCTAAAGGAAGTGCTATGGCACAACAGTTACTGTGCCCTGATAGCATAATCTAAAGGAAGTGCTATGGCACCACAGTTACTGTGCCCTGATAGCATAATCTAAAGGAAGTGCTATGGCACCACAGTTACTGTGCCCTGATAGCATAATCTAAAGGAAGTGCTATGGCACCACAGTTACTGTGCCCTGATAGCATAATCTAAAGGAAGTGCTATGGCACCACAGTTACTGTGCCCTGATAGCATAATCTAAAGGAAGTGCTATGGCACCACAGTTACTGTGCCCTGATAGCATAATCTAAAGGAAGTACTATGGCACCACAGTTACTGTGCCCTGATAGCATAATATATTCAGCTCCATCGTAGCCCTGCTGCACAAATTAGACTCCAAGGTAATATAACTTTAACACATCAGCTGATCTGTTTCTTTGGGGTTGTGAACAGTTTAACAATCCAGACATATGACGATCAGAAGCAAGCTTTGATGGTGACAGTGGTATGAATGTAGTATCATCCAGAAAGTAATGGCAAACTGCTGAATGTAAACTTGCCTAGGAAAAAAAAACAGCTGGTAAATGTTGAGGTTGGTCTGCAACCTCGTTTAGAGACTGCAGCAATTTAACGTTAACTTGTTCTATATGTAATTGTATTACACAGTGGGCAGACTTATTTAGCAACACCTTGCCATCTGTTAGACATCCCTGGCAGGCTTGTATTAGTGCACTGCTATGCCTGTGCTTTGGTGCTGTTTGCACCTGTGCATGTTAAGATGGCTGAGTATCATTATAGTTATTACACAAAAATATGCTAAGGATTTTCTGAAGAGGAAAACAAGATGTCAGTGGGTTAAACAAACAAGTCATGTAATCATAATTTGTATTTGGTAGTTATTTAGTGGCCCATCACTGTATTAAAAAAATATATTTTAGCTATAGGAATATATCCTCTTTGTTCTTTATTCTACATGTGATTTATTTTCCTTTGCATTTAAACAAACTCCTTCTACTCTAATCTATTACAGATACTCTATGATAACTTGACGATTCTACTCTACTCTATTACAGATACTCTATGATAACTTGATGCCTCTTGCACTATCTGAAGCCAGACTAGTAGATGTTGGCGAGGTCAGTTGTTTGTTGTTTTTGCATCTTGTGTGAAAACTTAGTTGATGTTCTACTCACAAAAATGTATCTAAAGCTTGCCAGATTCGTGAACTCTACTCTTTTAACAGATGATCTATGAGGAACTTGATGACTCTAACATTACAGATACTCAACATGGGGCCACTTGATGCATTTGAAAATCTATTACAGATACTCCCATGTTTTAGTATTCATACTATACTATATTACACCTACTCTATGCATAACTTTTTAAAGCCTCTTTCGGTGGCATCTGAAGCCAGACTAGTAGAAGTGGCGCAAAAAACTTGTCTAAAACATGATTTGGAATGTAAAACTTCTTGGTTCCTGCTAATTTTTCTATCCGTCACTGAAAAATGTATCTAAAGTGCATGCCAGGACACGTGAAGACTTTTCAACCTAGTGGTCAGTTTAAAAGAAGATGAATACCCTTGAACATGTATTTTTCAACATGGGGCCCAGGTTGGCAGTTTTGAAAATGGGCTCGACCAGGACTTAGCCTAGTCTTGTGAGTGAAAGCAGCTGGTATAATAGATAACTTTTAGAAAAGTTTGCCGGTGGTCACTCCGGCTACAAATATGGCACCTATTACAGAAGTTGGGAAACTTGTTCTAGTATACCTGATTTGGAATGTAGAGGGGCTCTACTCCTTGGGTCTATGAAAATGGATTGTCTGAAAATGAGTGCAGCCGACTATCGCACTTCTAAGCAAACCTAGTGGTCTATATGTATGAATTGCAAATCTCACAATGTGCGAGGTTGATTGTTCTGTTGACCTGGGTTGAGAGGATGTTGATCTCTATAGAAGATGTTGATTGTTTTCTTGTGAGTGAAAGCATCTGGTATAGTATTGTTCACATCTGCCAGTGAATGTCACTCCGGCTACTTAGGATGTTCTGGCACCGATGTGGGTCTTATACCTGATGGTTCTGTAGAGGGGCCTTTGGATGTTGATGGTTCTGTTGTCTTAGGATTCGTTGATGGTTCTGTTGTCTTAGTGGATGTTGCACAGCAAATCTGCCACTTGTGTCATAGGATGTTGATGGTTCTGTTGTCTTAGGATGTTGATGGTTCTGTTGTCTTAGGATGTTGATGGTTCTGTTGTCTTAGGATGTTGATGGTTCTGTTGTCTTAGGATGTTGATGGTTCTGTTGTCTTGATGTTGATTAGTTCTGATGTTGATGTTGATGGTTCTGTTGTCTTAGGATGTTGATGGTTCTGTTGTCTTAGGATGTTGATTCTCTGTTGTCTTAGGATGTTGATGGTTCTGTTGTCTTAGGATGTTGATGGTTCTGTTGTCTTAGGATGTTGATGGTTCTGTTGTCTTAGGATGTTGATGGTTCTGTTGTCTTAGGATGTTGATGGTTCTGTTGTCTTAAGATGTTGATGGTTCTGTTGTCTTAGGATGTTGATGGTTCTGTTGTCTTAGGATGTTGATGGTTCTGTTGTCTTAGGATGTTGATGGTTCTGTTGTCTTAGGATGTTGATGGTTCTGTTGTCTTAGGATGTTGATGGTTCAGTTTTCTTACTGGTTGTAAACGCTTCAGAAACAGCCTCTAATACAGTGCCCGCCTTCTTGAACCACACTTTTGCTTCATCTGGATCCTACTTTTTTACCTAATGCTTTTCTACACCAACTCTCTCAGTTGTTCTTGCTGGAACAGCAAGCAGTTAATAAAGGTTGTCATTGTGCCCAACAGTTGGCTGCTTACACAGAGAGTGAAGTCAAGCAGATCCGAGCAGAGTTGACCATGCATTTCCAAGAGTTGCTGCTGAAGAGGGACAGGGAGTTTCAAGAAAAGCTCAGACAGAGGGAAGAGGAAACATCACAGGAAGCTGCAAAGTTGAAAGCTGAGGTTGATGCTTACAAAGCCAAGGTGAAATCTTTTCATGGGAGACAGAAGGCATTAAAGTAAGGTTGATTCATTCTCATACAAATCAGTGTTGTCCCTCCAAATAGATGGTGTCTTGAATATTTTGTGTTTTTAATTCCATGTCAGGTTAGTAATTCAATTTTGCTCTTCATATCTGAGCACAAGATGGATGCTCTTTGTTGTTAGCTTCTAATCATTGTTTTATTTTTTATTTGTTTGTTCGTGTTATAACTTTTTTTTTTTTTTTTAAAGCTTTAGCACAGAGCGACATGTTAATGATTTGATACCCTGCTGGAGGATGACAACTCAGTTACATTTAGTTGCTGTTATTTATTAGAAATCCTTTATTTTGTGCTGCATTTTCCTACAAGCTGTTGTGACACACATGTTAAGACCCATGTGTTATTAATTTGTTGTAGCTAGTCTTGTTTCAAATTTTTGTTGGTTTACTCCTTTAAAACAAAATCTACTCTGACAATGTTAGCTTCAGATTACAGTTGTGCTACACATAGTCAGGTGAATCGAATATTGAGTGTACTGCATCATTTGGAACGAAAATCCATCTTTACCTGCCGGAAATCCTGTTTTAGACAAAGTGACAAAAGGCTATAGGCTGTGTGGTGTATTATTAATGGGGACTGCAAGCCAGTGACCTGTTATAGAAGCAGGGACGACTGGGGAACTGTTTGGGAACACTGCTAAACATGAGGAACTATCCGGCCTAAGCTCTGCTCCTTCACATACCACCACCAATCAACAGAAGTAGTATTTATTGCTAAACCAGTGGCTCGCGTGTAAACGTTGTCGCAGCCAGCTCTGTCTCAGCATTTGTTCCTGTCCAGCCGTTATCATAGCACCAGGTCTCAGTTCCAACAAAACATTGTCCATGTTGATTCCGTTTCACTGTAATGTTTGTCTGTTTGGTCAGGGTTCTCCGGAGTCTGTTTTCTATGACTTTACTAACAGCTTTGCCAATGTTTGTCATGTTACAGCGAAGTGATGAAAGAGTACACGGACACCATATCTAAAGTTTTAGGTAAGAAACATGTCTTCTTAAAAGGTCGGTTGTGTTGTGGTTTACAGCTTGGCTGTAATGTCTTGAGCCTTTTGGCTCACCACATCAGATTTCAAGCGGACTCGAACTAGTCCCCTTTGACAACATGCTTCTTAGTACACAGTGAAACTGTTTCTCTGGCTGCTCTTCCCAGTGGAACCCCTGAACCCACACTGGGCAGAAACGTTTAGTTCACATGAATACATAATCACTGATGAACAGCCTTACCTACCTGAGGATATGGGGGTATAGAGGAACACAAACCTTAACATGTCTTTTTGTTTGTTTGTCATGATTAGTCATTACAGATGTCTGTTTAATATTGTGGCTGTATCATAGAATGACAAGGGCAGTACTGTCATAAAATGACATAGACCCCTGCCATAAATGGTACAGAGAGTGCTGTTTTGAAGGGCAACCATAGTAGCAAAGGTACTGACTCACCAAGTTCTCCATACACCTAATGTATGTATTGGGGTCTTTAACTACTGACTGAACAGTGTGCATTCTAGTTAATCATTTAGTCATGGGTTGTGGTTACTATAATTCTTACAACTTTTTTTTTGTAACAAGCATTGCCACCAAATTATTTGAAGTATCCTGTTAGAAGTGTTATTTGTGTTGACATTTGTTTATAATTAATCAGTGACAATGCTTTAACATGTACATTTTTTGGTGCCCATTTTTCAGCCGAAAAAGAATTAGTGGTGTCTGAAAAAGAACTTCTGAAGATACAAGTAATGGAGATGAAGACAAGCAACACTCAGGTAATGGGTTTTAGCCTGTTCCCTTCTTCGTGACACCTACTGTGCTGGAGTACACTGACAAGCTGTTACCTGTTTGTACATGTCAGAGATCCGCCACATTATTCTCTTGTCTCCCAGTTGTACATGAATCACTCATGTCTCCCAGTTGTACATGAATCACTCATGTCTCCCAGTTGTACATGTATCACTCATGTCTCCCAGTTGTACATGAATCACTTATGTCTCCCAGTTGTACATGAATCACTCATGTCTCCCAGTTGTACATGAATCACTTATGTCTCCCAGTTGTACATGAATCACTCATGTCTCCCAGTTGTACATGAATCACTTATGTCTCCCAGTTGTACATGAATCACTCATGTCTCCCAGTTGTACATGAATCACTCATGTCTCCCAGTTGTACATGTATCACTCATGTCTCCCAGTTGTACATGTATCACTCATGTCTCCCAGTTGTACATGAATCACTCATGTCTCCCAGTTGTACATGAATCACTCATGTCTCCCAGTTGTACATGAATCACTCATGTCTCCCAGTTGTACATGTATCACTCATGTCTCCCAGTTGTACATGAATCACTTGTGTCTCCCAGTTGTACATGAATCACTCATGTCTCCCAGTTGTACATGAATCACTCATGTCTCCCAGTTGTACATGGGTCACTCATGTCTCCCAGTTGTACATGAATCACTCATGTCTCCCAGTTGTACATGAATCACTTATGTCTCCCAGTTGTACATGAATCACTCGTGTCTTCTAGTTGTACATGAATCACCTATGTCTCCCAGTTGTACATGAATCACTCATGACTCCCAGTTGTACATGAATCACTCATGTCTCCCAGTTGTACATGAATCACTCATGTCTCCCAGTTGTACATGAATCACTCATGTCTCCCAATTGTACATGAATCACTCATGTCTCCCAGTTGTACATGAATCACTCATGTCTCCCATGTCCCGTGTCTCTCACTCGTGGCTGTGTGTTTCTCTGTGTGTTGCTTCGTGTGTATTTGTGTGTTCATCTTTTTGATAATGTGTGTGTGTCTGTGCAAGTATTTGTGTGTCTGTGGGTGTGTGCCATTATGTGTCTGTAGGTATGTCTGTGTGTGTGTTTGTATGTGTATCTGTGGCTGTGCCTGTTTATGTGTGTATCTGTGTGTCTCTATGGGTGTTTCTATTATATAATGTCTGTGTGTGGCTTCCTGGGTATCTGGGTGTGTGTCCTTTTGATAATGTGTGAGTGTTTGTGCATTTGTGAGTGTATTTGTATGTATGTATGTGCCATTATGTTATCTGTTTGTGTATCTGTGGCTGTGAGTGTCTGTGTGTGTGGCTTTGTGTGTATCTGTGTGTGTCTCTATTGGTGTGTCTATTATATAATGTATGCGTGTCTCTGTGTCGGTTTTTGCGTCTGCGTGTCTGTGTGTGTGTGTTGCGTATGTTTATGTGTATATCTGTGTGTTTCCCTACCTGCCTCTGTGGATTTATATCTGTGTGTGTGTTTGTGTCTTTTTGTGCGACTACGTGTATGTGTGTGTGTGTTTTAGAGTGTGTCTTTGGGACTGTGTGTGTGTGTATGTATGTGTCGGTGTGCATGTTCGTATGTATGTGGATGTATGTGTGTATTGGGTGCCTATGTGTGTGTGTGAGTAAATGGGTTTACGTGTGTGCGAGCGTGCGCACATATTTTACCACCCATGCTTTTGTTTTTGACTTGATATTCATATGCACCCCCCGTGTGGGTTCCGGGGCCCCATTGTGGGGAAAACAAGAATAGACCCACTGCCTCCCCAAAAGCATGTCGTAAGAGACGACTAATTGGGGAGCTTCCTTTGAAGTCGGAGTGCATCTGCCGGAGAGGCAAGGAACCAACAGTCTGTATTCAAGAGAATGAGATCTGTAAAACTGATGCACACGCAACACTCAGGTTCTGGAGCAGGACTGCAGTTCAGTAGTGGACGAGCAACCAGAACCTTCCGCTAGAGTTTACAGCTGGTGAACGCGAAGAAGAAGAAGAAGATAATATGCACATTATTACATGAACATAACATGCTTTATTGATGAAATACAACTGCTGTGTGAAAGATGGGAGTTTGGAAGGGCTGAAAGTAAGACAGGCCTGCGTGACTAATTTGTAACCCTTTGAAAATATAGTTCGTTTCCGGTTATACATGGGTCACTCCTGTCTACCAGTTGTACACGGGTCACTCATGTCTCCCAGTTGTACATGGGTCACTCCTGTCTCCCAGTTGTACATGGGTCACTCCTGTCTCCCAGTTGTACATGGGTCACTCCTGTCTACCAGTTGTACATGGGTCACTCCTGTCTACCAGTTGTACATGGGTCACTCCTGTCTACCAGTTGTACACGGGTCACTCATGTCTCCCAGTTGTACATGGGTCACTCATGTCTCCCAGTTGTACATGGGTCACTCCTGTCTACCAGTTGTACATGGGTCACTCATGTCTCCCAGTTGTACATGGGTCACTCATGTCTCCCAGTTGTACATGGGTCACTCCTGTCTACCAGTTGTACATGGGTCACTCATGTCTCCCAGTTGTACATGGGTCACTCCTGTCTACCAGTTGTACATGGTTCACTCATGTCTCCCAGTTGTACATGAATCACTCATGTCTCCCAGTTGTACATGAATCACTCATGTCTCCCAGTTGTACATGGGTCACTCCTGTCTACCAGTTGTACATGGTTCACTCATGTCTCCCAGTTGTACATGGGTCACTCATGTCTCCCAGTTATTCATGGGTCACAATTATCACAATTAAAAACATCTGACTGAAACAATTTCAGAGCTTCAGCCGCAGAAAGATGCATTCTGCGACCTGTACTTGTGGTTGGAACATTGGTATTCATGGCTTTTGAAAACAAACTTAGAAAATGCAATGTTGAACGAAATTGCGCTGTTGTTTCTATCAAATTATGCACATATTTCTTAGGCTAGGAAATGAAACTAAAAGGATTTTGGCAGAGTGACTTTCCCTGAATAGTTTAATCCTACATCCGAACATTTGAAACTAGAACGGAGGCGTATGCGAAGCAAAATATACAGGACACACCATCGGCGATGACACCATTGTTTGGGCAAAATGGAACTTCTCAGACAACGCTCACACTGTTGCTTTGGCCTTAAAGAGTTGAGTGAGAAGAATATAGACTGGAGCACTTGTTGACATCAGCATAAACCACTTCTGCCATTAAGTGAGAAGAATATAGACTGGAGCACTTGCTGACATCAGCATAAATCACTTCTGCCATTAAGTGAGAAGAATATAGACTGGGATGAATAATTTGTAATAGTGTAGAGACAAAAAGAGTGCAATTGATGAGAGTACGCGTCTTACCCCAAAATTAACCCATGCTGGCTCTGTTAATAAATAAGCTTCTTCGGATTTATTAACCAAATATTTGCTGTTTGTTACCGAATGTTTGTATTTCTTATCAGATGCATGAAGATAACAAGGATTTGGAGAAATCTTTCCAGGATCTCTTTCACCGCTATGAAAAATTGAAAAGTATCTTGGAGAAGGCTGTTGAGGTAAGGAATTTGTAATCTGTGTCCCTTTTTTAAAAGATGGCTGTATTTAAACCAGTACTCATGTGCTCTTATACAAGATAGAATGGTTATTGTACATCTACTGTATTAATGTGCATGACAGAAACTAATCATTTACACGCTGGATGCTGAGTTGTTGAACCTCTAATGGTGTTGAACCTCACATGGTGCTGAACCTGAACCACACATGGTGTTGAACCTCACATGGTGCTGAACCACACATGGTGCTGAACCTGAACCACACATGGTGCTGAACCTGAGCCACACATGGTGCTGAACCTGAACCACACATGGTGCTGAACCACACATGGTGCTGAACCTGAGCCACCCATGGTGCTAAACCTGAGCCACACATGGTGCTGAACCTGAACCACACATGGTGCTGAACCTCACATGGTGCTGAACCTGAACCACACATGGTGCTGAACCTGAACCACACATGGTGCTGAACCTGAGCCACACATGGTGCTGAATTACACATGGTGCTGAACCACACATGGTGCTGAACCTGAGCCACACATGGTGCTGAACCTGAGCCACACATGGTGCTGAACCTGAGCCACACATGGTGCTGAACCTCACATAGTGCTGAACCACACATGGTACTGAACCACACATGGGGGTGAACTTCACATTGATCTTAACCAGACATGGTGCTGAACCACACATGGTGCACCGAGATCAGGGTTCACACTAGTCAAGACCTATCTACACTTTCCATGGACATATTGGGCACAAATTCCCAACCAGCAGCCTAGACAGGATAGATGTCTTTTTCTAATTCATGTTCACCGGCTGTAAACTCTGATAAAAAGTTGTGGGTGTTTGTCTGCCTCCGGACTGATATCCGTTTTACACATCTGGCTTATTTGTAGGCACTCTTGATTCCTTGCCTCTCAGGCAGATGTACCCTGACCTCTAAGAATGCCACTTAGTGGACTCCTTCCGCATGCTTGTTGGCGAAGTGCTTCTGTTCTTTTTACCCACAGTGAGACCCCAGAACCCACATGAGGGGACATTTCTTTCAAATTCATAGTGCATCTGCCTAAAAGTTTAAGAACCAATAATCTGCACACAAATAAGCCAGATCTTTAAAATGGTTGTGCTCGCAAAGCTCTAGTTCCGGAACAAAGCCAAGTCCAGAGTGATTGAACAAGCAGGCCTTTCCACTTGAGATTACCGCTGGTGAACATGAAGAGATTACAGCTGGTGAACATGAAGAGATTACAGCTAGCTAACAGGAAGAGATTACAGCTGGCGAACAGGAAGAGATTACAGCTGGTGAACATGAAGAAGGACTCATACAGATTAGGCATCACTATGTTGCTGATAATTTATCTAATAATGCTTATATAACTTTACAACAGATTGTTGCACTTTTAGCAACTATCTACACATTGATGACTCTACTTCCAACAGCTCAGCATTGCTTGCGCAAGCCACTCTACTTCTACAGTTTAGTTTTCCTTTTTGTTCCCCGGCTTCCCCCCCTCTCTCCCTCTTTCTCTTTCTCTCTCTCTCTCTCTCTCTCTCTCTCTCTCTCTCTCTCTCTCTCTCTCTCTCTCTCTCTCTCTCTCTCTCTCTCTCTCTCTCTCTCTCTCTCTCTCTCTCTCTCTCTCTCTCTCTCTCTCTCTCTCTCTCTCTCTCTCTCTCTCTCTCTCTCTCTCTCTCTCTCTTTTTGCTTTGTAGCTAGTTAGTTTCTGTTAGCCCAGTCTGGTAACAACTGCCACTGATTACTAATACACATTTGAATGGTAACCTTCCTCATCATCGTGCTGATTGTATAACATCAATGGTATTGTTTTGGTCTGTGTCCACAGAATGAGAAGATTCTCAAACAGACTGTCCTTGATGCCCAGGAGAAGTGCAAGTCCAGCAAGGAAATCAACAAGAAAGTCAAAGAGATGGCCGAGACCAAGATAGCAGAGTATGAATATTTTCTTGCTTTATAGATGTGTTCCACTTAAGGGCTACAGTCATGGTACATAACGCTAAAATACCTGGTTTATAATTGAAAAGTATTATATAATCAGTAAATACTGATGTTTGGCAATTTCCCATAGAGAATATGCCAGTAAATTTGTATAAATTATTCTTGATTTATAGATGCACAGTTCTTGTTTATGTGTGTATAATTCATGGTTTATAGGTTAGTAGATCAGCCAGCTTCACAATATAATGAACACAAACAAACAGCGAACGTAGCAGCTACAGTGTGTTAATGGGCATATTACATAAATAAAAAAAAACCGTATGAATATACAAAAATCACTTAATTGATGTTGGAAGAAGTCCAGCATTTCCAGGCCCCTATAGTGGAAATCATCATTATCCTGACACAGTCTATGGACATGTAGAAGCTAAGAGAAACGAATGGAGTCCTTGCAGGAAGAGAAGTGAGAGAATGTGTAGAAGCTAAGAGAAAGGAATGGAGTCCTTGCAGGAAGAGAAGTGAGAGGATGTGTAGAAGCTAAGAGAAAGGAATGGAGTCCTTGCAGGAAGAGAAGTGAGAGGATGTGTAGAAGCTAAGAGAAAGGAATGGAGTCCTTGCAGGAAGAGAAGTGAGAGGATGTGTAGAAGCTAAGAGAAAGGAATGGATTCCTTGCAGGAAGAGAAGTGAGAGGATGTGTAGAGAAGAGAAGCATGGTAATCAGTAGGCTTATAGTATACCAAGGCCTTTAGAATCCAAGGTGACAGTAAGATCCAGAAAATGCACAGATGGCGGCAAAAAGCTGGAAGTGAATCGGATGCTTGCATGGAAGTTAGAGAAAAAATCAATGAAGTTCTGCAGTTCTGAGAGGGGCAGTTTATAGTTCATACGTGCATGATTCTTGGTTTATAGATGTATGATTCTTGATGTTTAGGTGTATGCTTCTTTATTTAAAGATTACAATTATTTGTTTATAGATCTATGATTCATGTTTTATAGTTGCACAATTCTTGATTTTTGAATGTTGGTTTATAGATATGATTCTTGGTTTATAGGTACATAAATAAACCAAGTATTGTGCATTTAATATCCAAGAATCACTCATCTAAAATCTGCATAGTTAGCAACTACTCAGTATTGCAGAAGTTTTCTAAACCCTTCCCATTTCTTCTTCTTCTTCTTCTTTGCGTTCACCAGCTGTAAACTCTGGCGGAAGGTTCTGGTTGCTCGTCCACTACTGAACTGCAGTCCTGCTCCAGAACCTGAGTGTTATGTGTGTTTTACAGATCTCATTCTCTTGAATACAGACTGTTGGTTCCTTGCCTCTCCGGCAGATGCACTCCCGACTTCAAAGGAAGCTCCCCAATTAGTCGACTCTTACAACATGCTTTAGGGGAGGCAGTGGGTCTATTCTTGTTTTCCCCACAATGGGGCCCCGGAACCCACACGGGGGCCTTCCCATTTGATCTCCAACATTTGCCATAAAAGTTTGTCTTGTGTCACTGTTACCAGTGGCTTTGCCACTGCCGCCAATTTTGACGTCACTTCCACCAGTTAGGTATAAAGACATAATGTTTACTTGTGAGTGTTTGCTGATATTTTTCATCCCTGGGATGGTAGAATTCATGTTCTGCTTCCTGGGGTTAGTCATACTATTTGGGTTTGTGTTATAAATTGATGGATATGATTATTCTTTTTTTAAATTTTTTTTTCTTCTTCAGATTAGAGGAAAAGTACGAGAAGCTGAGCACTTCCACAAAAGATGAAATAATGAGGCTGGAGGCATCGGTCAAACGCAAGGACATGCAGATTAAAGGGTTAGAGACAACCCTTGAGCAAAAGGTTGGCATTCCTAGACAAGTTTTTTTTCTAAATAACAGGGTTGCTTCAAAACATTCTAGGAATTTGTTAGTTGTAGAAGATCAGGAACAAAAACATTAATTTATACCAAAATCTCCTTCAAAATAGTTCTGCAGCCTCAACTGTTTGCCAACATTTTCAGTAACTTCTATCTTTTGCATTGTTACACTGGCATCTTTGGGTAGCAAATGTTCTGCAGCTTCATGTTTGCCACCGTTTATAAAACTTCTCTCAAGTGTGTAAATGTATTGGTGACAAGGTTAGCGTTTTTCAATCACAGCCGCTCCACTGCTGGGGGGGGGGGGGGGGGGGGGGGCGTTTGGTGGATTCCAGGGCTGTCAGAGCTCTGTTGCTAGGTTAGTTAGTTAGTTGGGTTATCATCATTGCACTCCAGACATGTCCATATGTGCTCATTCCTCCCCTCAGTATGAACTCCAGTGCCCGGAGACTAATAGTTGCAGTTCTATGTTGATTAACAAGTCCTCTGATGTTCCTGGTGTGTGTCTCATTTTTTGCAATGCTGATCTTAACTTCCAAGTCTGCCATTCGGGTGAGTGATGTGGATCCACTGTCCCCAAAGTCCTCTACCCTTCCTATATCTTGGAGGGCATTAATAATATCAGCATGATTCATAGACAGACCGTCCATAGTGCTAGCGGATCCAGCCAACCTATCAGCTCTTTCATTTTCATCAATGCCCGTGTATCCCAGAATGAAAATAAAGGTGACTTTACGCACAGTGGACTTCTGTTCAAGCCATTGCCTTCGCAACAAACCTACCTGAAACCTCCAGATCATACTTTTTTTTTTTTCATTCACCGGCTGTGAATACCGGCGGAAAGTCTCGGTTAATCGTCCGCTTGGACTTTTGGCTTTCACCCGGACCTGATTTTTGCGTGTACAACCGTTTTAATGTTCCCTGCCTCATGGGCAGCTGTACTCGACTTCGAAGGAGATACTTATTAAATCACTAAGCATACATACGCGGGTGTAGTTTTGTGTTTAGAGCCACAAGAACACTTGCGCTACTGCCATCATCTCCATCGTCATGCTGCTGGTTGTCATGGAGAAGGCGCTGTTCCCTTCTTTGACTGTTCTGCCTCCTGAGCGTGCTGTGAACTCTCATGCACTGCTATTTTGGTGTACAAACGGATCTGTCTGATCAGAATTTTCACTGATGAGAGCGTTGACCTCTGCATTGACAGATTCTGCTCCCTTCATCGCCTGTTAAGTATGGCAATACAAGAAAATAAATGCATGAGGCACAGGTATCCACTCTGCACCATCGGTGATGTCGGTTAGGCTGCATATTTGCTTGATGACATCTTCTGCTCAACCTAGTCACGATTTTCGCCTCTTCAGTCTGTCACCCTTTTTACTGAAAAGCACTTGTTGCAGTGGGTGCTAGATTGTTGTCCTGCATTTCTGGAGGAATTGGTAACGACTTCACACCGAAGATCTCTTTAAAGTTACTAACTTCTTCTATGTTGGTATGTATGCAAGTGATATTAGTCGATCCAATCTCTTTGATGCTACCTTTTCTTTCCTCTGTGAACAAGGCAGCTCATGCCAGAGCTCCTTCTAACAGTACAGAACACTTACGCGTGTGTGCCCCACATGCAGCAGTGATCGGTAACAATCCCTTCTATAGAGGTTGATGTTTGTATATGATGTTTTTTAAAAATGTTCTCGTGTCAGTATTTTGACAAAGTTGTTTTCTCCTGTTTCAGACAAAAGAGAACAAAGAACTGACAGACCTGTGTGACACATTGATCAACAAAGTCTCCTCATCTTAAACTGTTTATCGACAATTTCATTGTTTCACGTTTGCCTTATTAACATTTATTGTTATGTACATTGATATCTTTCAAGTTAACTTTTTTTTTTTTTTTAAAGAAGTCACCACATACACAGAGAGTGGATACCATTCCTTTATTTTAAACTATTTCCTGGGGGGGGGGGGGGGGGGACTCAACTTTACAGTTGGCTAAACTGTGTGGATATACACAAAACCTGTCTCTCTCACCTGTCTCTCTCACCTGTCCTCTCTTTCTGTCTGTCTTTCCTGTGTTTGCTTAGCTGCACAAGTCTCATTGTTAGCTGCACATGTCTCATTGTTGTGTATCTAGCTGTTCTGTGGACACTTTATTTACATTAAAAAACAATTATCCAAGTTAATATTCTCTTGCCTTCATTTTTCTCAGTTTTCTGTCTACCAATATGTGTGTGCATATGTACTACCCTTCTGTGTGTGTGCATATGTACTACCTTTCTGTGTGTGCACATATGTACTACCCTTCTGTGTGTGCGCAAATGTACTACCCTTCTGTGTGTGCACATATGTACTACCCTTCTGTGTGCATATTATCAGACATGTCTAATTAGTTTGTTTTCCTTCCTGGAGAACTCGTATTGAGAGCATTAGACTGGTGTTAGTATTCACTGTGGACTAACTGTAGTTTATATGTTGTTTGTTGAACACGTAACATGTAGGCAGGTTGGTAGTTATATGTTGTTTGTTGAACACGTAACATGTAGGCAGGTTGGTAGTTATATGTTGTTTGTTGAACACGTAACATGTAGGCAGGTTGGTAGTTATATGTTGTTTGTTGAACACGTAACATGTAGGCAGGTTGGTAGTTATATGTTTGTTGAACACGTAACATGTAGGCAGGCTGGTAGTTATATGTTGTTTGTTGAACATGTAGGCAGGTTGGTAGTTATATGTTGTTTGTTGAACACGTAACATGTAGGCAGGCTGGTAGTTATATGTTGTTTGTTGAACATGTAACATGTAGGCAGGTTGGTAGTTATATGTTGTTTGTTGAACACGTAACATGTAGGCAGGCTGGAAGTTACATGTTGTTTGTTGAACACGTAACATGTAGGCAAGCTGGTAGTTATATGTTGTTTGTTGAACATGTAACATGTAGGCAGGTTGGTAGTTATATGTTGTTTGTTGAACACGTAACATGTAGGCAGGCTGGTAGTTACATGTTGTTTGTTGAACACGTAACATGTAGGCAAGCTGGTAGTTATATGTTGTTTGTTGAACATGTAACATGTAGGCAGGTTGGTAGTGATATGTTGTTTGTTGAACATGTAACATGTAGGCAGGCTGGTAGTTATATGTTGTTTGTTGAACACGTAACATGTAGCTAGGTTGGTAGTTATATGTTGTTTGTTGAACACGTAACATGTAGGCAGGCTGGTAGTTATATGTTGTTTGTTGAACACGTAACATGTAGGCAGGCTGGTAGTTATATGTTGTTTGTTGAACACGTAACATGTAGGCAGGCTGGTAGTTATATGTTGTTTGTTGAACATGTAGGCAAGATGGTAGTTATATGTTGTTTGTTGAACACGTAACATGTAGGCAAGCTGGTAGTTATATGTTGTTTGTTGAACACGTAACATGTAGGCAGGCTGGTAGTTATATGTTGTTTGTTGAACACGTAACATGTAGGCAGGCTGGCAGTTACATGTTGTTTGTTGAACACGTAACATGTAGACAGGCTGGTAGTTATATGTTGTTTGTTGAACACGTAACATGTAGGCAGGCTGGTAGTTACATGTTGTTTGTTGAACACGTAACATGTAGGCAGGCTGGCTGGCCTGAATCCAGTTGCTCTAGTTTTTGTCTCTTGCCTCTGAGATTATTTTTATATTTATTTACATTTGTTAATCACAATATTAAACTAGTGATACTTTCATTCTGTGCCTTCCTATGTTTGTCAAGGATAGGAATTATTAAGACATCATGCCATCATTACAGTCCTAGTTCAACACAAATGTGTGCCTGGAATTTCAGTTTCTGACCGTGTCAGACACACATTTCTAATTAGGAGGGTCCTCTTCACTGAGCCAGGTTTGATCTGGTATGGCTCGGTCTCTGTCAACATGCCGACTAGCCACCTGCCAAGAGTGGCGATTGACTAGTCACCTGCCAAGAGTGGAGATTGACTAGCCACCTGCCAAGAGTGGAGATTGACTAGTTACCTGCCAAGAGTGGAGATTGACTAGCCACCTGCCAAGAGTGGAGATTGACTAGTTACCTGCCAAGAGTGGAGATTGACTAGCCGCCTGCCAAGAGTGGAGATTGACTAGTTACCTGCCAAGAGTGGTGATTGACTAGCCGCCTGCCAAGAGTGGGGATTGACTAGTTATCTGCCAAGAGTAAAGATTGACTAGCCGCCTGCCAAGAGTGGAGATTGACTAGTTACCTGCCAAGAGTAAAGATTGACTAGCCACCTGCCAAGAGTGGAGATTGACTAGTTACCTGCCAAGAGTGGAGATTGACTAGCCACCTGCCAAAAGTGGAGACTGACTAGTTACCTGCTAAGAATGTCTCAGAAAACACAGACTCTGTAGCTCCAGCCATGATCTCCGTAAAAATGTGGACTGGAAGGTGCAGTCTGTGAAGCAAACCCAGGACCTTTTGAGGCAGGACTAAGGCTTTGCCATGGACTTTCCTCTATGACAGTATTCCTCAAGGTTTTTACCCCTGCATGTCATGAAGCTAGAGTGGATGCGGAGGTCCACTGCAGAACATGTCTAACATGCTGTCAAAGGTTTAACAAGCATATGCAGCAAAGTGCTCATTTTGTGAAATCCCAGATCTGCTGGCTTCTTAAAGGTGTTGCCCATGATGAATGAGAAACTCAATATATACATGTGACGTTAAACAGTCATGAGCAGGATGCGACTATTCCTTGGGTGAGCCCAGTACCACATCATCATGTATTGGCTCTACTCCTTGGATGGCGGGAAATGCTCGTGTTCTGCCCCTGCCTTCTCTTGAAGGCTGACCAGCATGATTGGCGGCACCTGTTATCTAAGAAACAAAGATGAGCACACAACAGTGAAATTGCAATGTCCCACAAAACTAACCAGGAAGGCAACCCCGGCAAGAAATGCCAGCAGAAGTCGGCCAAAAGGCGCAAATATCACAACCACCTGGCAGAGGGCACAAGTAATTTATGTCTTCAGATGAACACAAGAAGAAATCCCGCCAGGCGCAGCTCTTTATAATTTTTTTTTTCTATTTTTAACCTTACCAGTACTGTAAAGATCAGTGTTTTGTTTTAAACTCTACCAGTAGTGTAAAGATCAGTGTTTTGTTTTTCACTATATCAGTACTGGAAAAATCAATGTTTTGTTTTCAACTCTACCAGTACAGGAAAGATCAGTGGTAGCAAAGGCAGACTATGAGAAATGATGCTGGATGGTCTCTTCTTCTTTGCATTCTGGACTTAAGTTTTGTTCCAGAGCAGGAGGTTTTTGTGCACATGTGCCTGCCTTAGTTGTATTGAGAATGTCAGTTCCTTGTCTTTCAGGCAGATGCACTCTGACTTTGAAGGAGAATCCCAATTGGTCAACTCTCATGACATGCTTGTTAGTAAGGCAGTGGTGTTCTTTCTCCCCCTCCATCTCCCACAGTGGAGCCACGGAACCCCCACACAATGGAGCCACGGAACCCACACAGGAAGCTGGATAGTCTTAGATGGAGAATATCATCTGGGGAACATGTTCCAGAGACTGAGGTCTGGGGGGAACCATTGATGCCTATGCCACCTGGCAGGGCTCATGATGATGGTGACTACTGCTTTTGGATTGACCCAGTCTGGGCAAATGTCAACATCCCAAAAGTATGGGTGACCATCTTGTGGATTAACCCAGTCTGGACAAATGTCAACATCCCAAAAGTATGGGTGACCATCTTGTGGATTAACCCAGTCTGGACAAATGTCAACATCCCAAAAGTATGGGTGACCATCTTGTGGATTGACCCAGCCTGGACAAATGTCAACATCCCAAAAGTATGGGCGACCATGCCTCTTCTCAACCTGTGATCTCCAGCATGTATCAGTTCCTGTAATGAAACCCTTCCATGCCATGTCAAAGCTTGTCAAGAATCTCCTGGTTGTTTTCCATCTCTCTTTCCTCTTTCCTTGGTCGATAGGTATCAGCATTGCAGCCCTGAGAGAGACTAGACTTGATTGCGAGGATGAACTCTCTGAGGTTGGTGCAGGTTACACATTTTACTGGAGTGGTAGAAGAACGCAGAGAAGCAGGAGTGGGTTTTGCAGTGAAGACCACATTAGTCGGTAAACTAACTAAACCCCCAAAAGGTTTAGTCAAGAACTGACATCACAGCACTCAGGGCATTCCCATGCATGCTCCATTCTTATCTTCAGCAGCCAGCGCAGAGTTCCAATACTGATGGTACCAGTCACAATCTGGTTAAAAGTCCATCTTGCCTTTCCTCTTAGTGTAGTGAGCCAGCCAGACCCTCTGGTTACGCCCAGGTGTCTCATTCTCTCCAGGCCATAATAATCTTCTTTCTCTACTGATTCCGTTGCTTGTTCCCAAAGGGCCTTGACCAAATCTGCCTTGTCATGTATCAATTTACCACCTAGTGGTGCAGATCCAGCCAATCTGTCTGCCTGTTCATTACCCACCACGCCGGCATAGCCTGGAGAAAAGATCCAAAGTATGCTCACTACCCGTGACCTTTCCAGTAAAGCTAGCCACTCGCTCGAAGCATCCCTGTCCTCACCTTTTTTTCAGCATGCTTTCAGTCTGTTACAATTACGACATGTGCATGTATTTTGTTCGCTAGCCACCGGAGAGCTGCAGTTACCGCCTCCACCTCCATTCTTATGCTAGATGTTGTGTCGTATGCTAGGCTGTCTTGCACTAAAGATTTTGCATTGGCTTTCGCTATGAACACCCAGGCACTACTCTTTCCTCTCAACACTGAACCATTTGTATAGATAAACAGATCATGGCTGGG